GAATGTAATTATCACAAGTAGATACACAACACAATTCAATGGTCCTCTCACGGAACCCAATTCAATGGTCCTTTCATGGAACCCAAACTTAAATTATTAGCATACCGGTTCGTGGTACTCGATCCAAGTTAGTGTGCCGAAACGTGGCAGTCGATCCCATATTTATGCTGGAACTTGGCAACAAATCCAATGTTTATGCCGGAATGTGGCAACCGATCAAAGGTAGTGTGCCGGAACGTGAGACCCTCCCATTCAACAAACCACAATCACAATGTATATTCCCACAATCATACAACAAGAGGTGAATCACGGCATACAATTATTCAATTATCCTTATTTATTATTAGGGTGATCAATAATGCAACATTCGCATACATACATGCATTATAATGAAGCAATTACAAACATATATCACACCAACATGAAATCACAACTATCACCTACCTCGAAACAAGCTTGAAATCCTAAGAACTTGATCCTTCCCTTTCCGGATTCGTTCCGCTTGTTCTTGGTCTACAAACAATCAATATAATACGGAATCAATAAACAATCACTAATTACCCGGATTACTAACAATTCTATGAATCCTAGATCAAACCAATGATCTCAATCACCTAAATCCGGGTTGTTTCCACCATAGAATCTCTAACAAAACCCTTCCCCATCAATATTCACCCATTCTATTACGTTATACGGATCGAAAAATGGATTCGGGGAGTGAAGAGCTTACCTTTAGCCTCAAGAATGGTGAAAAACGAGTAGGAATCGCCTGGGGTTCGTTCTTTAGCTCTAAAAATCGAAAAGTGCCAATTAAGGCCGTTTAGGGGTTTATTAACGACTTTAAGTCGCGTCTGACCTGCCATGGTGGACCCATCCCACTACAGCGGCCCTGCTTTGGTGGCACCAATCCCGTTCTGGCGACCTACACGGAGACAATGTTACCCGTTCACGATAAGATCATTTTTCCCAAATTCGATTCCGTAAAGTCGTACGGGTTCCTTAACATCTTAGCTATCTACTCATTTGGTCCAAATCATAATTGGATCTCTCAATAATTACCAGATTTCCCTACACCTTAGTGACTCCGATTTCGTCCAAATCTGGACTAGGTTGGGAAATTCCAAGTTACTACAAAAAAGTTTTCTGGCCCCAATTATGTTCTTTCTTCATTGACTTTTCCCTAATGATGGAATCAGGTCGTTACAGTTAGTCACATGGCCAATGTTCAGGTACTTTACGCTTTTACCTATCTCTTATCGATATATATTTGCAGGAATTTTTTATGTTCTAAAATTATGTCTTGTTTCTATTAATGGAATTAATTCGTCTAATCTTTAAATGAATGTGAAACTAACTAATGTTTGAAAAGAAAATCAATACTCTTTCCATTTTAAATTGTTTGTCTTATTATTTTTAATCTCTTTTAAAAAAAATAAGTTAAGTTAGGTCTTGAACTTAACTCATACACCAAAAGCTAACTTAAAGGGAGGAAGATTGTTTAAGCCTTATGAGGATTATCTTCTCCTCCCCCCTCACACCCAGATCTAGATATTCCTTATCCGAGATTTAATTTATCACACCACCATCACTCCATTTAGATTCGTACATTTTTTTATCCAATATTCCATTTATCACCCCCTCCCCTAACCTTATTCTGACATTTTTATCCGGAATTCCATTTATCACCCTCACCATCAGATTGGGATCAAAGGATTTTCACCCCACAAATGTCCCATTTTCTAGGGCATACATCAGGATTGACTCTAATACCATGTAAAGTTAATTAGGTCTTGGTCTAAATCATGCCCTAAAGATAATTTAAAGTGAGGATTACCTAGTCAAATAAGGATACCAGGATTTCATTTATTCACTCATGTAGGACATTCAATTCCTTCATCAAAATGTTTTTTAAATCCATTTTTGACAAATCCTTAATTTCAATTTTATATGTAACATATGTATGACCACAAAATTAAATGACATGTTAATACATTTTACTTATCTTTAGTTTAAGATCATAAGATTTAAAGTCTTCTTTAATTTATTAAATTAATATCAAAAAGACAAAATAAGACAAACAAATTAAAATAAAGTGAATTATAATTAAAAGATTCAGAAAATGACATCTTCAAATTTAACGAAATACAAAATAATTTTTAACTAATTTTAATTTACTAAAGACAAGAAGTTTGACTTAAGGCAAAAAGTGTATAATTGGTAGAGAGTTGTATCCAAATTTAATTATTCGGATCAATTTTACTCACCATTTATTAATATATTTTTGGTATATAAATGAAGGAAAAGGTGACAAAACTAAGGCAATTGAACCACATTAGAGGAGATGTTAGCAAGCTACACTTTCTTGATAAACAGTTTGGATCTCTTCACTTTCTCACTTCTTCCTTCGTTTAGTTTATTGTTCTCTCTAATTATATTTCGTTTAAT